GCTCCTATGCCACACCTGAGCTAGAGAACCCAGATGTACATGCTAAACTAACTAACGAAGCGTAATTAATATCCAATTACAAATCAAGTCACACAGGCCATCTCATCAAGCTAGAACTATCTAAACTAAGTCTATGAGTCCCACTAGCGCGCTCCGAGGCTACTCAACTGTTCCTGAAAAACATTTAGTGTAACAACCGTCAGCGAATAATGCGGGTAACCCACTCCAACGCGTTAAGTACAATATAGGTAGATATAATAAAATCATTTTGAAACTGGAATACATATATACTTATGAGACTCTAGTTTTTTTTTTTTTTTTCAAAACAAAAGCTTTATTAGACAACGGGAAAAAGAGTCTTACAACTGACGGTCAAAAAGCGACCAGAAAACATACTGAGCCCATTTGGGCCTATAATGCTCAAAAGAAACTAAATAAGGAATGTACCCAAGCCCTGACAGGCCAGGCCTAAAGAAGGAAGGAATAAAATAATGGACCCAAACCCAACTAATAGGCCAGATCAACAGAATAATAAATGGAGAGAAGAAATAAATAAAAGAGGATGCTGAAATGGAGGCGCAGAATCCCCCTATCGACATCACCAATTTTCGCAGAATCCAACAACATAACGACTATTTCTATGATAGCAGTTTGTACCTGCGTGCTACCATGTACTATTGCGCCACCATGCGTCCTAAGAACACATTGCAAGACATAACAGACAGATAGGCATATAAATAGCAAATAGAGACAACAAAGGCATTCAAGACAATCAGTTAGCAAGTAATCAACAAAGCACACAATCCATCTTCCAACCTTATACCAAGTTTCAACCTTGCAGCTCCCCTCCGTCCGTATATCAGTTCCAACCTATACCTCCAAGCCACCCTTATATCGCCTCCCCTTATGCCTCCGAGCAACTACATGCCCCCACCGACAAACCACCTTTCAACCACCAACATATCAAGATGGTGCCATTCACATGATCCGCACCTCTAGTGCCAATATCAAGGGGTCCACGCATATAGCCCTGACATAACGCTGCAGCACTTATAACCTGACCCATGCTCAACGGCAAGCAGGTCTAAGGTGGGTTTGTGCCTTTAGCACAGTAACCGCTAGGCCTGTACCTTTAGTACAATGACCGGGCACAAGTTGTGCTAACCGCCAACAATTCATTTCCACCAATCACAATCTCATCATCATCATCATTCACACCGGCCATTGCGCAATGACCACGATACTCATCATCAACATAGACATCGTATGTCATTTAAAAAAAATTGACATCATAACATTTATAAGAATTATAATTGAGATACGATGTCGATTTTTATATTTTTATTTTTAATTTTAACAAAATTCTATACAATGTTGCTTTTTAGGAAAAATTACAGTCGTATCTATTTATTACAAAAAATATATATATATGTGATGTAAGTTTTTTTTTTTTTTTGACATTGTATCTGTATACAAATTATAAAATACTATACGACGTTGATTTTTTCTAAAAATTGATGGCGTATCTTTTTTTTTTTTTTTTTTTTTTAAAAA